CTAGTAAGACCTGTTTCCTGCCGTTGAAAAGTTACCGGATCGTTCCGTGTCTCTCGACGACGAGACTCCTGTTGATTTTCCAGACGAGTCTAGTCTCGGGGAAAAGAGAAAAGGGAAGAGGGCGACGGATAAGATCAAGAGCCGAGAATAACCACGCGAACATCGGCGGCCGACAAATTAATGCCTCAAGGTATGCACTTTCCGGATGGAGCAATTAACGACGCTTCGGCAATTATATATATATAAATAATATACCTCCTTACGCGGATTAAACACGCACGCGCGTATCGCTGGTCGATATTCCAATAAACACTTTTGCCGTTCGACCAGTTTTCGACCGAGAGTTTTGGAATGGAATGTGCAAAGTCATATCAAGTTATGGCGAATTCTATCTACTGCGGGAGAAGTCGATACATTATATCGTATTATTCGGTTTTATAAATTGAAGATTTATTCTCCCAGTTATCTGGAACTTACTCTCAGTTTGCGTGTTAATATAATAATAATTGTGTGACATAAGCGTGGGTTAGCAGCGATTATAATGTAACAAAATGTGTGCCAAATAAGAAAATTTTTATTCAGAATTTTTATTCCGTATTCCAAAAATGGATATCTCGGATAGATCTTTTCCAAACTCATCCTATCTTATTGTTAATCGTACCATATTTCAAAATTATTGCCAACGTTTTGTATCTGATGTCTCGTCCATTCTTGGAACGATAGCAGGTATCAACGACAGAAACGAGTAACGAGCTACCGTTAACGCCACTTACAATTAGAGGATTATTAACGATGAAGCTTAACGCTCGGCTGATACTATCAGGCGGATTCGAAATTTCCATCTTAGGATGTTTTTAACGACGTCCGCGTCGACATTTACACCGGTGTTGTTCGAAGTCGTCGAAGCGAGTGAGCGTGTGTAATCATCGTCGAGGAACTCTCACACTGATCCCATGACGTCGACGCGGATTCGGCATCGATGACGGAAAAGAGGTCATGAACTAATTGAAGGTCTCTTGGCGAAATCGTTGGCTCCTCTATGTCTCCTTCAATAGGCGGATTTAGGTAATAATAATCGGTCACTTGTTTAATTAATATGAATTACATTCGATAATCTGACAGTCAAACGTCTCTTATTGAATTGTTGAAACCGAGCAGAATTTTTTCGATTGATAATTTGCGTTTTTAGATGATTACATAGGTATAAAATTGTTCTGTTGCAAAAAAAAAGATTATTCTTTGCAGAAATTATGTATAGAGAGAAAATTTTATACGAAAGAAAATATGCATTAAAATAGAAGATAAATAATGGAACAAACTCTTTTCAATGACAAAAAATTACATAATGTTTTATACATTTAATGTACTATTTTTTTAATTTATTATATTTTTCCTAGTCAGATTAAATAGTTATATTTGAGAAATTACAACCTTTTCCGGGATTATGAATGTACATCGATCAATAATATTGTTAAGAATCGCTATAAATATATCATGGTTTGATCATATCACGTAAAATACATAAAGTTATCAAAGAAGCGAAACTCACGGGAGTCTGGAAAATGCTTATGTCATCCCGAGCGATCCAGACGTCCGTCAGAAACGACCTTGAAGATTGTACGGTACTAAAGACGAGGTCTGTAGTTCTCAGTTTGGCAAAGTCCTGCGGCTATGTTTGCATGGCACGTCGCAAAGGAAGAAGATCAAAGATGAAGATTTGCTCTTGCAGAGAGAAGTAAAAGGTGACAGAAGAGATATTACGGTGCGAAAGAGACGGATGTGTAGACAGGAAAGGAAGCTCGAAAAGAAAAAGTGCCGTGAGAGACGAAGAGACCGCCGTGAGACGCGACAACTCGTGTTTTACATGAGAACCACGCGGATCTTATCTCCTCCGGTATACCAGTAAGACCGCAACCAGGTCACGAAGGACCCATATAACCGACGAGGACCAGATTTCGCGAATCACAGACCACCTGTTATTTCTGATGCACGCTCCCTGTCTCCTTCGTTTCTTCCTTAGGTTTTCCTTCATCTGCGCTGCCACCGATCGATATCGTGTTATTTTATAATCAATGTTGTTGATCATCATGCGTTTTTCTGAATAAAAATGTAAGAAAGGAATTATATGGAGAGTTTAATCATTTATTGTACTGTCTTTCTAATCTCATTTATTGGCAAAAACTGATTTAATTAAATTATATAATAACTGATTGAATTAAAATTAATTACATTAAATATCAAAGCCTATGAGTGAAAAAATATCTCATTTATTTTACAACTAACTCCAAACCAAACGAACATAAACGAGTACAAACAAATATCAGAGCGAACGAGTGAAGACATTAATTATTAATATTTTTTTTATTTATTAATTAAGTAATGTTTTAATCTGATATTTGCTGATATTTGTTCGCTTGGTTTGGACCCGGCTTATGATTTATTGTCTTATACATTTAATATATCATAATTTTAATTTAATAATATTGCTTAAAAGCCTTAAGAAAAATTTACATCGACATTAACGTTAAGAATTAGCTGTTCTCCATATGCAAAATTGTAGAAGTAATTTCATGTGATACAATCCATTCTCTCTTTAATAAACAGACGGAAAGCCGACCAAAAGAACCGACCCACTTCTTGCCAATAAACACGTCCGATGAACAAAAACCGTGAGTAGGGCGGTCTTGTGTGCGTAACGGCCGACATGGGCCGTGATGTATCGCTCCGTTGGACGCATCCCTTCGTCTCCCAGCATAATCCGAGGGCATATGGTAGCGGCTTTGCCTTAATAGAGGCTCGTGCCTTGCTACGGACTTAATGCGTCACGGATTTTCTTTCACACTTATTCGTTCTGCGCGAACAAAACCGCCTTACGTATACCTTGGTCTTAATGCGAAATGCGTGACTCAAAAAAAATTATCTAAATTTTTTTACGCTCGTTTTCACATCAAATGATGAGCATCGCGTACAAATCATCGCGAATTAGAGTAATCGTGATTTTAATTCCATAATATGTAATATTTATAACGTCAAGTTATCTCTATCGATTGGATGGTTTATTATTATTTCGCGAGATGTTAATCTCATAGATATGATATCTATCGGCAAAATCTTTCACATTTTGTTGCCATAGAGGCAAGCATGTGGGAGCAGTAGTGTTTAACATTTTTTTTGGATTTTCTCGGACGTTTGTGCTTCGCATGCCCTTTCTTGCAATAATCCAGAGTTCTTTGATCTTTGTTTGAAATGCAGATGATGTATGTATCACGAGAGATGATATGTGTAAGGGGGAGTTTATCCATTTACGCGATGCAGGAAAATAGAATTTTTAAGGAAGAAGAAAGAGAGTTTAGTTAAATTTAAAACTTTACTTTTTAATTATTTTTATCGTCATTCTATCATAAACTTTCTGCGTTCATAAATTTTTTCCCGACGTTTCTACGCGAGCTTCTACCCTCTTTCATCTTCCGCGATTAATTAAGCGGGCTATAAGCGGAGGAATTTTCGTATGCAAATTTTTACATTATTCCGTGTGGTGATCGGGGAGAGAGGCGGGAAGGGCAAGAGAACGGCAAAGAGAAAATATATGTAGGCGCGACAAAACGCTGAGCGTAAGATGCGCCGTGCAAATGAATCTCTCGCGTTTCAAGAATAATGTTGCTGTTCGAGCCTGAGAAAAATTGCAGTAAAACGCGTCTTTTTTTTTTCAATTATATGCGCTGTTTCGCGGCGTGCATATGTACACTCGGCGTTACGAATATCTTTGCTTTTTTTTAAACAGACATGTTTACAACGATTTCGTATGATGTCGTCATTGAATCTATTATTTTCCCAGATTATTCTAATTTCTAAATAAATACCTCTAAGTCTTTTGAATATGATTCAAGAAATCTGGTACATAATATTTTTTAGCATTAATTTTTTTTAAGGCAGCATTTTCAAAAATACATATGTATTTGATACAAGTAATTTGCATTCAAACTACGATAATGACGATTATTACATATAACGACGCAAAGTTACTCATTTTCTTTCTTTATTGTACGATTTATTACTAAGAACTTAGTCATTAGTCTTTATTGCTTGTTTCATAGCTCGAGTATTACTCAATCTCCTGCGCGAGAGCGATCTGTCCGCAGGTAGATAGGCTCGTTCCCGTAAAGTACCGACGATTGTGTGCATGTGTGTGTGTGTGTGTGTGTATGTATTGCGGTGACATTCCCGGGTACATTTTACGCGGTAAAATGCCCGCAGCAGTCACACAGAACGGTTGCGCTTTGATCAGCGTGCAACTCATCTCCCATACCCGATTCGCTCCCTTCGCGATATCCCTTTCGCCCGTTAGTGTCCCGTGCTCCCCTCTCCTCAAATTGGCAGCAATTGCGCGATCACACCGATGGGACTCACTTTCTACGGTTTTACGAGGAGCGAAGTGGAATAGCAATAAGGCGTCATTCCTGCCGTCCGCGGACTGCCACTTTTACGGCCGAAGGAAAATACGTGGTTGGCCGCTGCGACTGGTTGCCCGCACACCTATCGTGCTAAAATGATACGTTTCCGGTACAGCGAGTCCCGTGTAATCCAATCGACCAAATGCGAGTGTAATGTACGTGCAATTTCGCAAAATAATCGACGACCGAAAAAAAAAAAGAGATCAAGCGTAATAAAAATGCCGTCGCGACGCATTGCTGTCGATGATTGCTACCGTCCCCTTTCAATACAGACCTTAATAAACGCGAGGATACATATGACACACAGATGACACGTAATCATTGCCATATACATTTCCGCGCATACGAGTAGACTTCTGCATATTTACAAAGTGCATGATGTCGGGTGCTTTATTGCATAAGCAAACCGCAATATCCATGCGATTGGAGATTTATTTAATTTGATGGTCAATTACATTGACTCACCGTAATCTTTGCCGTGCGAAGTAGAACGCTTTTCTCCTATAATGAATTGTCTAACATTAGAATTCTTTTCTCTTATTGTTGCAGCCCGAAACTGTGCCACAGGCGAGGATCGACATGACCCGCGTCCTGGAGGTAGCCGCCGCCGAGGACGTCACCGGGCATCCTTACAGCCTCGCCGTGACCTCGCCGGAGGGTGTGACCTTCGTCAAAGGAACATGCCGTGAAGAAACCAGATGGTGGTCGGATGTTCTCCAAGTGTATTCGCGAAACAAGGTTGGTCCAGCTTAATGTCAATATATAACCGTTTTTCGTATTTTTAAAAATATTGCGTTATTTATTGCGTTATTTAAATAAAATAAAGATCGTACATTTTTTTTTCTCTCTCTTTCTCCCTCTCTCTCAAGTTGCAATATTTTTCGTGTAGCTTAATGAAATGCTCCGGAAACCGTTATGAAATGCGAGAGCCGCAATCCAATTTCTGCATCAAATTGAAGGATATATCGATTGAAAAAGATGATTTGATAGCTGGTCGAAGGAATCCGTGCGTCCTACTTAACGTACACTTGTGATATAGAATGGCATCTTACGTATATCATTAGGGAATTTAATTTTTCGTCGATTATGGAGGATATGCAGCGGCTAAACCGCATCGATATCGTATTATACGTCTCTCTGAAAGGTGCATTGCGCGAGAAGAACGTAGTCACGCGAATGGTAGAAACGCGCAGAATGTTGCCTGATTGCGCGTGCTCTCGCATAATCATTACGTGCCATAATACATCCTTTCCTGTGACATGCTTGTTACGCGCACAAGAATGATTCCCCGCTTGTGACGTCTTTTCGCGTCCACAGGATTAGCTCTAATAGGGTTTCAAAGCATGCTAGCGGAAACCTATTCGATGTAAAAACAGAGTTACGAGAAAGTTCCGTTGAATATCACGATTATTTCAAACTACGCTTTTAGACTCTGTTATCTACAAAATATGTCGGAATTATGCTATTAATTAATTCTAACGATTATTTGTTTTTGTAATATATTACCTAAAATATATGCAAATCTTAGCGGTTTTAAAAAATGCCACTCATTTTCCGATATATTTTTTCTTTATTTCAATGCGCAAAACTTTATATGATAACAATCATAACAGTTAAAAAGATTACATAATTAAAATGTAATTAATTTTAACTGTGATTCTATATTTCTTTCCAGAATCACACAATTAAAGGGAGAGTTTAAGAGAGAGAAATTAAATTAAACTACAATTCAGATTAAATATTTTTGTTGTCTCTTAGACAATGCTGGTTAAGCAAAAATATTTTTCGTGTCTCCTATTATATAAAAGTGACCATTGTATGTAGTAGAATTAGCGACAATGTAGGACAGAGCGCGACGCAAAAATGCGTCGAGTTCATAAACGGGGCGGGCGAACGCTTTCGCATGATGAAGCGGTTATTGAGTGTGATTGTGCCTGTCGCTTGCGCTTGAAAGGCCTTGAAAAAAATAGCGTAAGCTACAGTGAAACTGCCGACGTTGCCTCGCATAATCGCCAATGCATACCGCGGCGCTCATTACGTCGACAATAAACGCCAGTAGACTTGTGCCGCGACTTGTCACTTGGACTTGCGCGTCTCGGGGGTTGTCAGTCGAGTCGATTGGCCGCTTCCTGCGATTCATTCGTCTTTTCGCGATCTCTAAAGGGGCCTCTCTGTGTTTTCTCTTTTCACCGTCGCTTAACATCGTCTCGGGGCGTCATTATTCAGCTGACGACGGAAAGCGTTTGGTGACAAATGGAGCATCGTTTCACTCGTCACTAAGCGATTGGAAGTCTCGCGAATTAGGTTGAGAACGAACTCTCTTCCATTTCGTAAAAAAGCTTTAACTCTATTAATTATGGCACAATGCATCATGTTACTATAATAGTTAAACAATTAAAACTGTTTAAATTCCCTTTTATATAAACATCTTCTCAAGATTATAATTGAGAACTCGTTTATAGTAATATTTATTTATATTCATAATTTGTTTATTGATAATTACAAAAACTTGATTTATTGATAAGATATACATGAAAGATGCATGAAGCGATTTTTGCAACTTTTGACATTGCATGTAACGGCGCGATAAAGCAATCTATAAATAAATTTACAACGTTTCGTGCACGTCGCGAATATTGGGATTGTAAAGCAATTATTAGAACGCTCTGCGTGACGATGATTTAACATTGACGATGGTTTACAGCGCCTCAAACACAAGTGTTCATATCGCGTGTATATTTGTTGCGCAACACGTACAAGTCGCGACGAAATTTGGGCCGGACCAGCGTTTCCCCGCCATAATTACGCCGTAATTGTTTAGCCTTCCTCGATTATCGACTAAATTGGTATCCGGTACGGGGAGGTGTTCGCGCTCGCGCGAACCTTCCAATCAATCAGACGCCGTAAATCGAACCGCTCAAAAGCTGTCGTTCGTTACACTGCTCGGAACTTTGTAATAACACCGCGGATTACTCGGCCGCGAAATTACGTAAGACATGATCGATCGGCGAGCGGAGAAATATCTCTTCATTCAGTGCTTCTGGTACAAAACGCGAAACATTAGTTATTGCATCGTGACGCGTGCGATATAACACACCGTCGTATTGACGTCATTTACCGAAGAATAGATCTCATGGAAGATATTTTATTTATGGGATACATAGGATTCAGAAATTTATTCTCGAAATAAGTTCCACACACGTTACGATATATCTTGTATTTCGGCTGATTTCTTTTTTTTTTTTTCTCGTTGCAACGCGTATATTTTTATTTAAATTAAGTTTTATTTGAATTACTTGTTGAAAATGCAGGAAGAATATTTTTTGAATTATCATACATTGTCTCGAGAACGCTTAAAAGATATATATATTTTCAAATATATAAATATCATCTTGTAAAGCCGATGCGTTGTAAATTATAATAAATTATGTATTGCGAGACTCGTGCCTGTTAAAGCTCCTGCAATTCTCAGACAAAAAGCATTCTTCTTCATACTCAGTCTTCTTTGCGCACATCCAATGCAATAGCTCGATAATTATCTCTTCAGAGAACAGAATGGAGTGTTTTCTGCGCTCGCGGGTTTCGCGTCGCGGCCACAATCGATCAATCGTTCTCGCGAGAATCGTTTAGGATCCCATCGCGGTCTCGCATTCTCGCATTGTTCGTACGAGATTACATGGCTACGCGCACACGTTAATTCCGTTACGCAAGCAATGATCGATCGGCATACGGCTACACCACGTCGTTGCCGTGGACCTCGTCACTGGTGTAAACGAACGATTACGTTACGAGGCCAAGGCAAGATGCATGCGTGCCATGCGACATTTAGCGCAGTGAACGTGGAGGAAATGTTGCTCCCGCGTTATTTTCCACATTTTTTTGCAATTACTTCCCTTTCCTTTCCTCCCCATTCTTCCCATTGTCCTTGGAATTGTCGCGTTGTTTGCGCAAAGGGCGCTCGATCGCTTCGCGATCACCTCGAGATGACTTCGCGAAGTTGCACAACCGTTGCAACTTTTTTAAATTAAAGTTACGAAATGGTATATGAAAACAATGTCGCATGCATTAATAACGCTAATTATATAAATAAAAAGATAGAGCATTATATATATATATAATTGATTAATTAATTAACTAAATATCTTTTGATTAAATTTGAGTAAATATTTTCCATGAGATACACATTCGTTTGTGTTTAAGGATTGTCGTGTTTTTACGATTATGGTCGAGGATAAACGTAATTATTCGCGCGTTTATTGCGGATCAATTTCCAGATCGATTATCCAATCAGCTGAGATCCTTAACGGCGGAAAAAAACGCTCGAGGGTTTTGATAATAGAATCTGTGGAAATATTCCGTCGCAATTTCTTCACGATTTGCGTTCTGTGGTTTTCAGGGTCGGCATAAGCGAAATGCAACCTTCCCCGGCGGACAGACGACGATTCTGCAAGTTACGCCGACGATTCGAAGTGAGTATGCCTACTGCTCATGTTATGCAAATTTTACAATAATACGCATGTATGCAAAGATATGTCCACGCCAGTAGTTTAACGATGGCGTAATTACTACCTCGCTTAGTCATTTTCATTTTTCTCTGCGGAAAAGTAATATTGCACAGACAAGAGTCTTTTACGCAAGCAATTTGATGTAATGAGAGGTGGAATGTGCAACAATTTAACCAGCGTAGTAAACATGAGATGCGTGTGACAGAAGTGGATATAAATAATAAGACGATACCTTCGCGTGTGAAGGAGAAAGCACATATCTTTTCATAATATATATACTGTCATTATTACGTATCACTATCACCTCGTTATCTCTAGTTCTCGTTACCTCTAATTAGATCTATCTCAATCATTTTTCTCAGAAATTACAGCACAACTTAACTCGAGTCAAATCATACGATGGTGTTTCTTAAATATATAAGTATATATGTTTTATATATGTATAAATTTTTTTTTAAGTTTAGTAAAAAATTCCTTTCTTAGAAAGAAAAATTGCTTAATTTTCTTTCGGCTCCTTCGTGGAGATTTCAAAGCTTTCGCATCGCAAATGCGCATTCAATCACCTGAATTCTTACAAAGGCATTGAAACTTGATCATCGCAGGTAACACACCAAATCCACCGCGACCGCGCTTCAATAGCTGTCAATCAGAGCCGCGCAGCAGCGCGTGGATCCCGGAGACCGGCAACGGAACGTCAGACTTGTGCTCTTCCGTCTTCTCGTCGACGCCGTCCTTGGTAACAACTAGCGTCTGCACCGCGACTAACAATAGCGTGCTGACCAACGGTAACACGGAGAGCGTCTCTGAGGTCAGAAACAATTTATCGCCCTTGCATACTGTGGCGTCCCTCGAGAATGGCTCCAGCGGAAGCTATCTGACAACCGCGACAACGACGACAACGGCGTCGTTGAACGGCAACATTTGCAGCACTGTTTATTCGACCACTTCGACAACCATCTCGAGCAATGCCGCCTCGTTGACCGATAAGCCGCCGATGATCCCCAACGACGGCGCGAGATCAACGAGCTATCGGGATCAACCTGCCAGCAGCGCGTCACCACCGACCCGAGACAAGCTCCGTGCCGAGGACAAGGCCAGGCGCAGGATGAATCAGCAGGGCGAACGAACCGGCGACACGACCAGCACGGCCTCCGGCGAGAAACTAGGTCGGTATATTCGATGAGACACAATTTCTTCGAGTGTCCGATGCCTTTGACAGATAAAATTATCATCTGTGCTTTGACATTTCCTTGACTCTGATTACGATTACACGATGTTTGCCTGATGATTCTTGTGATTTTTGTCAATACGCGGAAGATTTCTTTGTTCACATTTCTGAATTTATTTATAAAATTATTTTTCGATTCGCATTTCTAAAATTTTAATAGTTTAATTAAAATTTGATAAAAAGTTAATGAGATTATAAAACTATTAGTGACAATGATCTTCAATCGCTCGTGACTTATTTTTTCGATTATATTTAATTAAACTAGATATCCTTTAATGATATTATAATTAGATACCTGATGATAGAAAGATATATTACTGTATTTGATCGCTTCGTTTGGATTGATTTGCGTTGTGCTGTCGAGATCATATTGAAATTAGGACATGAATGATTGATAGTAAATAATTTAAAAATAATATTAGGTATATCTCATTTCTCTGAGATATTTCAAGATAACATGAAAGTTACATTAGAAGTAATAACTTTCAAGATGTTCGTCTCGCTTTGTCACGATTTACGTCGAAAGTTTTTCTTATTCTTAATAGTCGGATAAAACTAGTTTAGATACGGATGGAAACTAGGTCGCTGGATTTTACATTCTCAATGACGATGATTTGCAATCCGCAAAAGAAACAGCTGACGTATTAAGTCGGACAGCTGACCTATTTTTATTCTATATAATTAATATAACAAACGTAATAGTTCAAAGAAATGTTGCTCCAGATTCGCATATAGAAAATTATATTAATGAAATTAGATATCTTTCAAGAGAATTAGTGATACAGTGCAAAAAAGATTT